AAAAAAATGACTAGTGACACAATGTGTGCCTTGTGTTTTGAATTTACATAAATTTTCTGTAGAATAATTGTTCTTATAATCTTTAAGCAGCTCACAAAAGACAATATACACGTTATTTTTTCTTGGATTTGTAAATATTACTTTACTTTCCTAATTTAAAAAAACAACAACTCTCCCCTAGACAAACATTTAAAGATAATTTTGATGTTCACCCTTTGTTGGCATAAATGAAGCATTTTGCAATTAAACTCTTCAGTTTATCAGTGCTACTGATCAAACATGTTTGTATGTAAGGACCTTGAGAACTAACTCCATGCCCCATGTTAGAAATGGGTAAATATATTCTGCATGAGGCCACTGTCTGCCCAGCTGTATCTCTCTGCTTTCAGGGCCCGGGATGCCCAAGGAACCAAGAGGATATGCCCAAGGGTGTGTAGGGGAGAGGGAACGCACCTCCCGTCCAGCAAGTAAAAATGCTAAAGACAGAAGCAACACGGCCGCCCTTTTGGCCTCTAGAGCAAGAGCACACACTGAACAGGAACCAAATGGACGTGACTCACGCTGCTCTGAGAAAGACTCTGGTTACTCTGGTGAGTATTGATTGACAGCCCTACTGTTATATTCACTCCCTAAGAGACTCAGTTCACACTATTTTTTTACTATTATCACAAAAAATACAGTTTGCTCAAAAGTGTATTAAAGGGATGCTCCACCCCCAAAATTTTTTTTTGTCATTAATCACTTACCCCCATGTCGTTCCAAACCCCTAAAAGCTTTGTTCGTCTGCGGAACACAATTTAAGATATTTTGGATGAAAACCAGGTGGCTTGTGACTGTCCCATTGACTGCCAAGTAAATTACACTGTCAAGGTCCAGAAAAGTATGAAAGACATCGTCAGAATAGTCCATCTGCCATCAGTGGTTCAACCGTAACGTTATGAAGCGACGAGAATACTTTTTGTACGCGAAGAAAACAAAAATAACGACTTTATTCAACGATTCATCTCCTCTGTGTCTCTCCTCATCACCATA